AGTCAGCCTGCTTATCTTGGCAACTATAGGTTTCGATGTGATGCACTTTCTCAGTGCAGCATTGAACCTATTGTCAAGGATCGGGTAGAGGCACTCCTCATCAAGTTCCTCTATTGCGCTGGCGTTTTCGACACTCATGACCCAAGACATGGCATATGGCGAGTCATAGCTGAATGCGTTGCTCACGATTTCTCTCGTGGAAATGATCCAGTCTCGCAACTCATGCGGTGCAGGCTCTTTTTCGAGCTCTATGTTGGCGCACTTGTTCGCCTCAGATGGCAACGAAGTTAAGGGCGGTCGAGTAGCCTGCCCAAAAACGTGGGGAGGTAGAACGCCGTCTCTGCCAATGGATATGGCACAAAGAGAGCAACTCCCGGACGATGGCGGGCAGCACGCGGCACACAGAGAAGCGCGGCACAACGAACAAGTTTGGAAGCACGGAGGTGTCCCGGGGATGCTGGTCTTGACATTTATGTTGCATCGAGGGCAGACCCTCTCCTCAGCGGAAGATCGGCGAAGATCGGGAGCCCCAATGCCGCCAACGCCACCGGCGCCATGCACACCCTTATCGAGTCCTGGTGGAAGAGAGAAACCAGTTGGCCCGCCAGAGTTATCTTGTACTCCGTGGTGAGGCTGTGGATTCTGCTGATTTGTCACAGCAGCGTCAGGTCCGTACCTCCCGCGAATGACTCCCTGAGACGTTCCATGCTCAACCTGACCGGTGAAAATCCCCCCTGTAGGGGAACATCCGGGATACGTGTTGATGGTCCCCCTCGGAACTGCTCGCCCGACTACGGGCGAAGACATTGCCCTTGGTGGCATTGGCCCGGCAGCTCCGGCGTGGGAACAGAAACCAGAATTCCCTTGGTGCGGTTCAGGACTCCGATGTGACGGATCTCCACGTGATGGCCCGGATCCAGGATCAGGAGCAGTGCCATCCCGCTGATTATGGTCAGGAATGCAATCAGGTCCTCCAGGCCCCGCACTGGGGCCGCGATGCTTAGTTTTCCCGTCGGGATCAGCTCTCAGACAACCGAGGCAAATAGGTCGAACATTCGACCCAAAACGGCGCACATCGTCAGGCGAAGCGATGTGTTGATCGCAGTACTCGTCCTTGCATATGAGACACCTCACAAGTCCGTGTCTCCCCCCTCTTCCTCTGCATGCGCGGCATCTAGGAAACTGATCGCTGCACTTGAAACACGAGTTACAGTCATGGTCAAAGCAGTCTTCGCAGACTGACTTGCCGCAGCTTCGGCATGGATAGCGAGGTTCCCGATGCTGTGGATGCCCGGGCTCCTCATGAGCACACCTGGCCCGGTTATCAGGGGCAGCGCCGGCAGCCCGAGCAATGGCCCTCGTTCTAGAGGGATCCCTGCCGAAGATGGGGGCTGATGGTGACGGTGGGGGTGGCCCCGAAGGAGGTGGAGGTGGAGGAGGCCTCGCCGAGCTGACGGTGCGAGCATCACGAGGAGGAGAACCTCTAGGAGCCCTTCCCTGGGTTAAGGGATCAGTGTCTCCAGATTTCTCCCATGATCCCGTTCCGGCGGTCGAAGCAGCGCCAGCACTTGAAGATCCGCAGGCAGCAAGAGGTTGCTCCCTCAACTCAGCGATCTGCATGTTGATCTCATTGACCCTCAGCACAAGCTTCATAAACTGCTCTTGCATGTCCCTCGGATTGGGGCCTAAGCTTTTGTCATGAAGGTCCTTGACGCACCTAGCAATACGGGACAATTGAAGCTTGAACTCTTCCTGTTTCTGTGAGTTCTCATTGAGGGCTCCGGACATCCTATCACTGAACTGCTTCAGGTCGGTCGCAGGAACGAGCTGCTGGATATACGTCTCGACGTTCCCACGGATGGTTCTTTCCCTTGAGATGGTTCCCTCAATGTCGATGACACTGCGGGAGTTCGCCTCAACTTCGTCCTTGATTTTCCGAACCTCAGCCTCAAGGGCCCCGATCTCAGAGAACCTAAGGAGCTGGACCTTGACGTTCTCAAGTCATTCGGCCTGCTCGCGAAGTTCAGCAGCGGATATGACGATCGAGTCAGACCTCTCATCATACATCTTGAAACGCTCATTCATCTCCTTCTCGCTTCGGGCGACCCACTCGTGGAAATCACGGAACTTGGCCTCGTGTTTTGAGAGAGTTCCGGCAACGGCAGAGAAGGATGATTCAACCTTCTTCTCGAAGGCGTCAATACGGTTATTGATCTTCTTGATCTCACCGACGCAAGCGTTAATATCATCCCTACATGAACGAATCTCAGTTCTGCATCGGATTTCGGCCTTGCACCCCTTGACCTCGTTGTGGATCGCGAGAAGCAGTCGTTGAAGCTCAGATGCAACAGGATGGCCGCCACTTGTGGAAGCAGACGGAGCAGGACGACTATCAGCGTCATGATCTCCGCGCCTATTTTCTTCCCTGTCGGGAGTGCAGCCCGGAGTTCCGATTTGAAAGAATGCGGGGACGAGGGAGTTGTTGACCGGTTGATTTGGAGGAAGCCCTCCATGTCCAGGGGCAACAGTGCTAAGTCCAGGTCTCCGGTTCCTGGGCGTAGAGTTAATCCCGTCATCAGTCTCCTTCTCAGACATCGGGGCATTGGAGCTGAGCCCAGACCCCGCAGAGTGGATAGGAACGTCAATAGGATCGTGATGAGCTGGGGGATTAGATCGCAATCGCAGAGCAGCTTCACGTCTCTCGGGTGACTCAGAGCTCCTCTTTGTGGCTCGTGAGTCAGTGCCGGTTTGTCCCGGCACATTATCAAATGATGATGATGATCCACGAAGTTGAGCTTGATCTGGATCAGGTTGAGTGAGATCAAGCCGTTGAGCAACGTCACCATTGAGTGGCTTAGGAGAAAGTACTTTGGCAACGCGGCTCGGCGGGAGCGATGTCGTTCGTCTCTCTGGCGTGACCTCGGCCTCATCGATTACATCAAGGATCCCAGGGATGGTTTCATCATCTTCATTTCCTCTCCTGGGTGGCTGATGGAAGGGGATGTCGAGGAGGTCGAAGGGAGTAGAGCCAATACCAGGTGTATCCTGCTCGGATCCATCGCTGGTACGGTGGCTGGACTGCTCCTCGAGGTCGATGACGTCGGGGGCGGACTCTTTTCGAGTCTGACGCCGATTGAACGCCGCGAAGAGACCGGCATGGCTTCTTGACGAAGTGGAGGAAGGATTTGGGCCTGCTGTTTCGCGGCCCGCGTCCGATCGATTAGTACCTGATGCCCGATTTGGCGGATTTGAGCCCGCGTTGTAGCGGTTCGCATCCCGACCTCGGGTACCTGAGGAAAGCGGTGGATTCGGACCAGCGTTGTAGCGGTCCGCATTCCGGTCGCGGGTACCTGACAGGTGAGATGATACTGCATCAGGGATGAAGTCCATATCCGCCGGACTGGGGTGATCGTGAATGATGTCAATGTCGGATGAACCTGAGACGGGAGGCAGGCCAGCTATTTGCGGCCAATCCTCAATCGCCCGTTTGCCAACCTCGGGTTGGGCCGAACCTGCAACATGAGAGGGGGAGAAGTCTTCAATGGGGTCATTTTCTCCATCATGAGGAAAACCCTGAGTAGGCTCATGCGTAGGCAGGGCATCAAAAGATCTGTCAATTCGGGAAGGCTGAGACCTCCAATCAGCATCAAAAAGGGATTGAAAATCCAGATTCCCAACCGATATGGGGGCACCCGAGTTAAAGTCGAGCCGACCGAAATCAGGCGGTGTAGCCTGCGATCCACTGCCGAGGAGCTGGTCAAACTGATCCCATGTAAGGGACCATGATTGAGCCGGCTCCGGATGAGCAGCACGATGGACAGCCCGGTCCTCGATCTGGAGCGCCACGAACGGAACAGTAGGCGAAATCGATGAGGGCACCTGATTTGGAGGAACCTCAGCCTCTTCTAGAGGGGGTCCGTCCTCGATCTGAAGCACTGCCGCCGGGATAGGGGCCTCCGCATCCTCATCAAACACGACCTGAGAAAGGATCCAATCGTCCGTGATCACCCCGGGATTGGGCTCTGCGCCCACCATCGGGGGAATGGGCCACAGCCGGCTGTCTAAGCCGGGGGCAGCAGGCGCGGCGTTGCCGCGAAGGGCGTTGGCCTCGTCGTCCACGAAGCCCGGCCCACGATGTGAAGCTCCGGGGGACGCCATTGCTCGTACAAGTAGGCGATGGGAGCAGGTAGCGGGTCACGTCCCGCAACCGGATCACCAGCCCCAGCTTCTAGCTGGTACGGCTGATAACCTGCGGTTTTGGGCGAACACGAAGTAGCCCAGGGAAGCAAATGAGCACAAAGAAGATCACAATGTACCCAAAGCACCCGGATACACAACTCGGGTGAAGCTGTGGATGATGACCGGGTTGAGGATGTGACGGTTGGCAAAGAGAAGTTTGGGGAAGTTGGGAATCAAGTTGAAGAAGTATAAGTACTCAACCAAGCCCAGCAAACCCTGCCGCACCACCGGATACCTCCCACAACCAGCTGCCCCCAGCACCGAGACCTTTTCCCGATGATGTGGGCGGCTGCCGTTGTATGGCGTCCGCACGTGGTGCCAGAGTTAAACTGACGGGGGGTTGAAAACTTGAGCCAAACGGCCATTCGGCCGTTTTGCCACATGAAGAAACAACACGTGAACAAAACACAGAACTCAATGAGTCGCAAAGAAGTTAGACAACACACCAGGCTTTGCTTCGGCTCCCCTTCCGATGGATCCGGGGGGGGGGGGGAAGCAAAAACAACTGACAACAACCGGCCTCGCGGACTGGCGCAGCAAAGGGGCACAGCTTCTCGCCTCAAAGAGGGACAGTTCAGAATCATTGGCTCACCCATCCAGTGGATCGGCCAGAAAAAGTGTGAACACGCACAAGCTCAATGAAGCGCGCACAAAAAAAAAAACAATCAAGAAACTGGGCCCTGAAGCGCCCCAAAGCTGCTGGACGATCTGTTTCGGCCAACAAGGCACCATCCTGCGAGGCTCGCTGTGTCTTTTTTCTTCCCAAACGCACATTGAGTTTGGGGCCCGAAACTCTAGACTGAAGCATTCGCTTTGCCGACTCCACGATAACTCGAAGCCCAGCTTTCTGGACGGCCAAACGGCCAGATTGCTTTGAAAGTCTCCTGGGCGTAGAGCAGAATGCCAACGGTCATCAGAAGGATCGGCAGGAACGCTCTGGCCTCAAAGGAATTCCGGCCGGTGAAGTAGTACGCGACATACAGCGTCGGCGCGGTGGCAGTTTTGCAAATGAATTTTGCAATGGCGGACATGCCTGGGCTGTCCAAACTGATCACTGCTCAAAAAAACGATATCATGACTTTTAGTGGGTTAAATAGAAATCCAAGCACCAGACCAGCTAAAAGCAACAAAATACCTCAGGGGCCCGATGGCTAAGCACCGAGATACGTGTCAGGATTGCCACTGACAGCCATCCATTGCCGACCTCCGCGATCACGACCACCCAGGTCCAGGAATCCCAGCCCCTTCGGTCGATGCATTTCTCGGTCAACTTGGAAAGGTCGCCTTGGGGGCAGTTGGCAATATCCTCCAGAAAAAACTGGCCCAGCTGCGCAAAGACCAGGGCAACCATGAAGGTTTGCATCTTGAGCAGCGTGTTGGCCTCCCAAATGTCCAGGCTCCTGTACCGGCTCTCCGTGAGCACTGCGGCCACCGCGCCGAGCAACGCCTTCAGCAAGGCCAGGCTGCAGCCAATGGCGGCGCCTTCTCTGCTGGCATCGTGCGACCCGCGCTGAGCGGCGAAGAGGACGATGGACACCGTGATCACGGCGAAGAGCGCCCACTCCCTCTGCGTCAGCCGGCGATTCAGCAACACTTTGGAGGCCGCGGCCGCGAAGAGCAGCCTGGAATTGATGACGGTGAGGTACAAGAGGCCTCCCCCGCTGCCAATGGCGCTGAGGGCAGCCACATCCCCAAGACAGTACACCAGCGTGAGCGGCAGCATCTGCAGGTGCTGCGCTCGGCTGAAGAGGCAGCTACCAGAGCGACACAGGATGGCCACCACCCCAATCATCACGTTGATGGCCGCCTCAGCCATTATCACCGACGAGGCTCTGTAGGGCAGCCGCCTCTCGATCTTTATCCCCTCTGGGCCATAGAGCGTGGCCGTGCGGGAGTGGTCCGCGAGGGCAGGCATCAAGCAGCCGGTCAGTAGACTCACTGCGCAGAGCAGCGCGTTCTGCCACGTGGACTCGACTCTTGGCACTTGGGAGTGAAGCAGTGAGAAGTCTTCCATGCTGGCTTCGTCCAGGCTGGACCTAGGGCACAGGTCGTTATCGGAGAGGCTTCGGGGCATCCTGCGTGCGGGCACCGCGCTCTGCACGGGCAAAGTCTGGGCTCTCTGCCAGTTGCCATCCTCCATCGCTTGAATTACTTACTCTATCATCAAGGAAACTGTGCCCTTCACCTTGAGCAAGTGCAGCTAGAACACGCAAGCGTCCCATTGGTTCTGGTGCCCAATGACATGTTCTCTGTTGCAAAGAGGGTCATCCCCATGGCAGTATTTCACATTCAAGGGGATTCCTTGGTATCACAATGACTGCCCTACCAAGAACTTTTGGTGGAGCCGCCAATAAAAACTATGGGAGCCTCACCAGCAGAACATGTGTTGTAAAGTGGGTCTACCTAGCACCCTGTTCCGCCAACAAATCCACCTGCCTATTTATCGCAAGAGGACTATCGCACAAACCCTCATCTACACGTTGGGGTCGTTTTTTGGAACAGCCTCTTGGATGAAGTTGAGACTACAGGAAAGCGCTATGGACCAGAGTCTGGTTTTGTGGGGGAGTTGAAATAGTGTTGGGGCGGCTCGAATTTTCCATTGCCCCTTGGGTAGTTGAAGACCGCCTTCAACGATGCCTTTGCTTCAAGGCTCACGATCAGGGACAAGCTCCTAAGAAAACAACAACTCCTCAAAAACAACAAAAGACAACCCCAACTCCTCAAACAAAAAACCATGGAATCCCATCCCGGCGGGTAGGTACAAGGCTGGTAGTTTTGAGCGAGTGGGTTCCTTAGGGTTCCTGAGGGTTCCTTAGGGAGCTGTAGGGACCTTTTCTTGGACCAGCTTCCCCTTACTCAGTTCCTGAGTTGATTGGCCAGCAAAAAATCCATATAACCAGTTGTTCTCTGCCGCGAAACTGGCCCAAGCCCCGAAAAGTGACTCAACCACGTCCATGAACTCAGGGAGTCAGCTTACCCAGACGCTCCTGGCTTCGGCTTCCAACCCGGACCCTCCATTGGACACCCCTCTGGGGGTTTTGGGGTGGCCGTTTGAAGGCCCAAAATCCATGGAATTGGAGCGTCTGGGTAGGGAGCTCCATGCAAATCTATATATATATATATCTCTCACCATGTTCCTCTTTGCCGCGAAACTGGGCAAGCCACCCCGAAAAAGCGGCTCAACAAAATGTCCATGAGCTCAGGGCGTCCTGAGCTCCAAAGGCCCCCAGATCCCCCCGCCGATGACCACGGAGTCCAGCCACCGTCTGGTGGCCGCCACCCGGCCTAATAGGCGCTGCTTTCTCGGTGGGGCGTTTAAGGCAGGCGGGGGCAGCTGGTTCCATATGATGTTTCCATCCCCACCGAAAAATTGCAATGGGAAATGGGATATATGTAATACATATATACATATACATATATATATATATATAAATGTAATACAAATATATATATATATAATACATATATATATACCTAGGGAACCCAAACCCTGCGAATTTGTCGGGTTTGCTCCAAAACTCTGGGTATTCCTGCATGACATTGAAAGACCTCGGCTTTTGCTTGAAAACCCCGGGTTTTTGGAAAGACCCTTCTTTTTGGGACGTTTTGGCTCATGATCATGCGGGCACCATGGCTAGAAACAGTACGATGTGGTGAGTTTGAAAACGTTGCCAGAACATGCCAGACTAATGCAGGCATCTATCACATCACCCTTCTGCTATTATAGTTGGTATCTTGCCGGAAGAACTTCCAACACCCGAAGCATGGTGCTAGCTGAGAAAACCTATACAAACAGCGGAGCCGCCCCCCGCGAAAGCGCAGCAGCCATGCCGTTTTTTCCCACGTCAGTCGGACCAGGCTGGCGCCCTCCTGCATGCGGTCATGCGGCAAGCATGCGCCTGCAGAAACATTGACATGCATGCACAATGTATATTGCACGCATGGATAAAAGATTTGACCCATAGCTTTTTTGGCTCATTCAGTTGGCTTGACACAATGGCGGATGAACCCCAGGAAGGGAAGCCAAAATTGAATGTGGCAGGGCTGGCCGCAGAGTGGGACAACATGCAACATGTGCGCCAACACCTGCGGGAATCCGGTACGGTCGTGTTCCACGAGAAAGCCAGTGAGAGCATCAGGGATGCCTGCCGACCTCACATCCATGCCTTCTTGCAGCCCCTACTCCTCCGAATGGCCTCTACTGAGGGGGCCCCGCAACCTTGCGTGGAACCTTTGAGGGGAGAGCTGGCCAACCTCTACCAAAAGGCGTCCAAACAAGTTGATGAACAACAAATAGTCCATGACTCCTGGATGACAAGGAAGTTTCTTGGGTTTGTGAAGATGTCAGCACGAAAGCAGAAGCCCTCGACCGCGTTTTGGCTGATCATTTTGAACATGCTTTGGATGTTAGTTCATATCGTGCTTTTGGCTGGCTGGCCAATTGTGCAATGATATGCGTTGTTTCGCTGTATGGGTCTCCAACTTGCCAAGGCACCCGCCTTCCAAGATCTTTGCCTGATTCTCAACCCCTTGCTTCAGGCACGGTTTGTTCGCAATCCAACTCCACGTTTGCCACCCCCAGGTCCAAACATATACGGCATTTCTTGCACAGGCGGAGGTGGACCGCATCAACCACAAGCAAGCAGAAAAGAAGGCAAAATCGATGTCCAAGGATTGGGTGGGCTGTTTCACCATTTATATGGGATGGCTCAATTTGCATAACCGTTGCAACTTGCACTCTCTTCCTAGGGAACCCAAACCCTGTGAGTTTGTCGTATCACAAAATTGCTAAATTGATCTCGTTGCCAATTTGCCATCTATATCAGGAGACCATCAGCACGGAGGATGCGGATGCCTATGATGATGAGTGCTCTGATGTGAGCGTGGAGGGCGCTGAGGATGGCGATGCTTCCCAGGACGAGGGCGGTGATGTTGAGATCAAGGGGGCTGACATCCCGAACACAGTTTCTAACAGTTCTACGGGCCAAGAGATTCCTCCTATCAGCGGAGCCCCTGCAACCGTTGAGAATCATGAAAACGACAACTCGGGTGCCAAATCCTCTGAACAAGAAGCTCCACCGGACTATCCTCAATCCGACCAGCCTGGCAAGGTGCCACAACCACCCCTTGAAACCACCTTACCCGAAGACATGGTGAACAAGCCTCCGTCGGCCCCGGTGGCTCCTGAGCCATCACCAGCTGCGTCGTCGCAAGCAGAAGTATCTCCTGCAGGCAACGCGGGCTCAAATTTTTGTGTCGATCGAGTGAGGGGTGTTTGAAAAAAAGCAGGCATCCGTGATGGTTTTCGAAATCAACAAGTTTAAGAAAAACACAGGCGTATATATGTGCGTGGCGTGTGCGTATGTTAATTACTTAATTGGCACGTGCAGGTGTGTGCATGCATGTGTGTGTTTGTGTCGTGTGCATGTGCGCATGTCTGTTGTTGAACGCTTGTGAGTGTGTGTGCGTGTGCGCGCATGCATGTTTATGTGAGTGTGTGTGTGTGTGCGCATGTGTGTCCGTGTTTGTTTGTGCATGTGTGTGTGTATGTGTTTGTGCATGAGCGTGTGCGTGTGTCTTGAATGTGTTTGTTTGCTTGTTTGCGCTGTATATGCTTACTTGTTTTGTTTGTTTGTTTGTTTGTTTGTTTGTTTGTTTGTTTTTTTGTTTGTTTGTTTGTTTGTTTGTTTGTTTGTTTGTGATTGTTTGCTTGTTTGTTTGTTTGTTTGTTTCTTTGCTTGTTCCTTCGTTCGTTTGTTTGTGTTTTGCATGTGTGTTACGTGCGTGTGTGTATTGTGTGCGCGTGCGCTCGCACGTGCTGGCGCCCAAGCATGTGTTTCGTTAACGCACGAGTGTGTCAACGCATTGTGAGTGGGTTTGTGCGAATGACTGTTTGCGTATATGTGCTCGTGTGTGAGCCCTATAGTGTCTGCGGGCTTGTGTGTGTGTGTCGTGCTTGTTTAATTGGTCTCCACACACGCGTGTTTTGCTCTTTTCGCACACGCAGGGGTGCGTGTGTGTGTGTGTGATGCGCGCGTGTTGATGTGGTTTGAGTGCTTATCAGCTTTTTGTGCGTGAGCGCGTGTGTGTTTGTGTGGTTGTATCAGTTTATTAAATGAATGAACTGAGGGGTTGCGCGTGCGAGCGCGCGCTTGCTCGCACGTGTATGTGTGTGTGTGTCATATGGATCAATTTGTATATGCATGGGGTTGCTCTTAATTGTGTGCGTTTGCGCAGTTGCGCCCGCGGGTTGATGTGTGTTGCAGCATTCGCCCATGATTGTGTGTGTGTACTTGTGTTTGCCGTGTTTTTCTTTCTCACGTTACCATGTTTTTGTTTCTTGATGCGTGTGTGTTCGTGCGATTCTAACCTTGCCGACATGCTTGCGTGTTTGTGTGTGTGTTGCGTTTGTTTGAATGTGTGCATGTTGTGCTTGTGAGCGTCAGGAAGCGGACCAGAGCGCAAAGACAAGTTGGCTTTGGCGAAGCAGCGCCTATCGCTGCCGGGGTCTAAGTCATATATATACTGTACATGCGTCCGAAAAAAACAACGCACATCCATGTTAGCTCGTTCAACACACATAGCTTGTGTGGGAAAAAGAGGTGTAATCGTGACAGCCCTTGAGGCTCCGTGAAAAGAGGATGGCTCTCCAGAAGCAAAAGGATGATGAAATGGGCACCCTGCTCACCACACCGCCTTCAAAGAAGCCCTTTGAGCTGCAAGGTGGGTGTTTTTTTTTTTAATGTTTCCGTTCTGTTTGTGAGCTGCCATACACATGCATATAAGGAAATAGTTGGAGTGCTCGAAGCATGAAACACATCGACCGGCTCGTGTGCAGGTAGCGCTGCGCGGCCGACATCTTTCGACAACTTGGAAACCCAGTTGGTGAGCGCTCAGGAGTTCACGGTGGCTGCTCAGGAAGCAGCCAAGCATCAGCAAGTTGCCTCTCTCTCCCCTGACATCGGTGCAGATCAGCGCCGTGTCCAGTACCAAGAACGCTCTGGTCGCCCCACGCCCGTTCCGCCGGCTGTCCTGGAGCCCACGAAGGAGCCCACGAAGAAGACCGCGAAGGAGCCCGCGAAGGAGTCGCCGCCTGGCGAGTCTGCAGCCGAGCCAGCCAGGGGCGCGAAGGCGAGCTATAGGGAAAGAAGGGGGCCCCCCTTGTACTTCAGCTACTATATATATGCATGCAGTAATTGTCA